GTGGCCTACAGCTGGCTCCGGGCATTCAAAATGTGGCCTGGGAGTTGTGTTCTGGGAGCACGAAGAACACGAAGTGGCTTACAGTTGGCTCCAGGCATCCAAAATGTGGCCTGGGAATGGTGTTCTGTTGGTTCCGGGCAGTCAAACTGTGGCTCCTGGCAATCAAAATGGGGAGTCCCCGGTTTTCCCTGGCATCCCCCGGATCCTGCCCAGACCCCCCTGGGGAATCAGGATGCTCTCTGTTGGCCCCACTAGAAACCTATCAATATTCGCTGTTAGGTAATGTTGCTCTCGCCTGAAAGTCGCGCACGTCCATCTGAATACCTTGTAAGAGCTTCACGGATCGAGGGCAGGTGGCTTTCAAAATGTGGCTCTCGCCCAAGCGCCGCGCACATCCGCATTTTAAATTTGCAAGGTTCTCTTGGGTGGATGGCGAGTCTTTTTCAAATGGTGCGCCGCGCCATTCATCTCAAAAAACTGTACGAGCTTCGCGGATGGAGGGCGGTTCCTTTTCAAAATGCGGCTCCCGCCTTAGCGCCGCGCGTATCCGTTCTCAGAGTGCACAGCGGTTTTAAGGACTCTCTTGGTTGACGTACCAAACATATGTTTTGGCACGGTTTCGGACTGTCAGGGTGCAACAATATGTCGACTTGTGATGTTGAAATCCCAGAAATGGTATTCTGGTACGGTTCAAGATCGTCAGGACGCAACAGTAATGGTGATTCGCGGCGCTGAAGTCCCAGGAATGGTGTTCTGGTACAGCTCAGGATTTCCCAACGGTTGTCTTTCAACTGGGTTTTTCCTTCAGTCCAAATAAATCCTTGCACCTTGTTGGAGCCTAGGAAGAGAGAACTTGCAGGGAGGGTTTGTTGCAAACGGTCTTTCAATGGGGTTTTTCCTTCAGTCAAATAAGCCCTTCTAGGGACCTAGGAAGAGGGAACCTGCAGGGAGGGCTTATTGCACCAGCGCTGATGAACCCTTCGGTTTGCACTGGTCCTCCTCCTGCTGCTGCTGATTGCGGTCGTTGGTCTCCCTGCAGCCACCTTCCTCCTCCTCCTCCTTCGAGGGGCAGGCCAGAGAGGGGGGGGGGGCCGGCTCGGGGGCTGGGGGGAAACCATCTACCGTCGAGCTGGAATCGGCGACACATCGCCAATGGATCGGCGATGGGCTCCTCATGGCGGATCCGCGCGCTCCTGGGCGGAGTGTGGGCCCCCCTTATCGGCGATGCGCCAGGGAGGGGGGTCCGGCGCGGGTCCTCCGAGACATCATGCTTATGCAGTTTTTTGTTGCTCCAGTGGCTTCGGCGAAGGCTTCTGGAGAGCTTCTCGGAAGGGCGGAGGCCTTCTGCGCCTCGCGAGGGGGCCCGCCCCCTCTGCCTTCCCTCTGGACGCGCCGCCGAGAGCCAGACATCCTCCTCCTCCTCCTCCTCCTCCTCCTCCTCCTCCTCGTCCTCCTCCTCGTCCTCCTCCTCGTCCTCGTCCTCGTCCTCGTCCTCCTCCTCGTCCTCCTCCTCCTCCTCCTCCTCCTCCTCCTCCATCCTGGATTTGGGCCATACCTCGGGTCTCCGGCGGCCGTTCGGGACGACCCGGGCACCCCCAGATTGTCCTCGCGAGGCGCAGCCGCTGGACGGTATCCCGGGGCTGGAGAACAACCGAGGGCCGACGAAAAGGCCAGAAAGCCTCGAACCACCTCAACCCTTCAGCATCGTTCAACCTATCCCTACGCCCCTTGGCATGGCTTCGGCCCCGCTGGCCGATTTAGCGCCCCAGAGGGGGAGATGACGTTCCCTCTGGGTTTCGCGGGCCTATCTTCACCTGGGGGGATCTGGGGCGGATGGGCTGGTGGGGCTGAGGCGCCCATGGCCCAATGGGGATAGGTTGGACCATGCTGAAGCCTTAGCCCAGACATGCGACGTCCTGATCTTTTCAATACGGGGTCCCTGGAAATCCCGACCCTGTGCCCGAGACCGGTTTTTCATCCTGAATCGTTTTCTGACGGTCCCGATGCCCGGCGAGGGCCCCCCGAGGCCGAAAATGGCAAAACAAAAAAAAATCCCGTCCTTCTTGACGCGCCCCCTAACGTTGCCCCTGCTCAAAACGGCGGGGGAGGCCTCGCGCCCCCCCCTCCACGAGAGCCCGCGGGCCGCTGTTGGCAGCTGGAGGATCCCCTGGCGCGGCCGCAACACACGGCCCTGCGCATCCACGTGCTCCCGCAGGGAAGCCACACGAGCAAGGGCACCTCTGGAACCTTCCCCAGGCGCCTGCATCTTTGCCTAAACCTCTTATCGGCGTTGAGTGGGTGATTCGGGGTCGATGCGTCCCCCCTTGGCTCATCCCCCCCCCGCTTGCCTCAGATATCCGCAGGTGTCATTTACCAGCCCGCGGCCCGACCGACCGCGTCCCCAGGGGGTAGTTTGTCGTCCTGGATCCGGTTCTGATGGTCCCGGAGCTCGATCACGGGCCCCGCAAGGCCGAAATCCGGGGAAATCGCCGGGAATGGCGCAAAAACATATCGGTCGGGATTGGAAGGCCCCTGCTGGCGCGCAGCTGAGGTGGAGACGAGGTTCGTCAGCTCGCACCTCGCATACGGGCGAAGGCAGACCTGACCTGCGGAATCCGCGCCTGACTTTCGTCTCAAGGCCAGGGGCTGACATTTCCTCGGGGGCGGAAGGCTTGAGCGACGGTATACGGCATGAGACCGGCAGCATCAGGCTCGAGAGACGGATGGTAGGGAGAAGACGCACCGAATTGGAACGTGCCTTTTTGACGTCAGGCAAACTTACGTCAACATGGGTCGTAATGTCTGAGTGATGAATTCAAACAGGCAAGCTATAAACACCGACTTAGGTGCTGCGGCCAAAAAACTGACCCCCAAGCAACTGAAGACCGAAACAGGGCGCTAAGTCATGGAAGCGGACGAGGCACCCGCGAGGGCGCAGAGTAAACCGAGCGAGCAGCCTGTGGAGCAGGTGGGGCCCCCCCAAACATCATCGGCATCACCAGGCCCACACAAGGGGGACACCGAAAAGGGTAGGACACGATCTGCCAATGCTGATCCTCCTCCTCCTCCTCCTCCTCCTTCTCCTCCTCCTCCTCCTCCTCCTCATCCTCTTCCTCCTCCTGCCCAGGCGGGTCGCGGGCACGACTTGCCCGTGGCACTGGGGCCCGTCGGCGGCAGGGCCCCTCGGCGGCGGCCGACGGGCACACGGTGCAGGGCCTTCGCCTGGCTCGTCGGCGGCGGCAGGGGGAGCTCGGCAACGCTGCGGGGTGGCCAACACGATCGGGGGGGCGCGCCAACATGGATTGTCGATCCAAAGATTTTGGGGGGGCCAAAGAATTTGTTGGTCCAAACAAACTTTTGGGTCCCCAAACAAAAACCTTTGGATGTGGTCCGCGGTCGCCAAATCCATGGATCGGGGGAGGTGCCCTCCCCGGAATGCGGCCGGTGCCGCCGCGCTCGGCGGCGGAAAGCCCCGACTTCCGGTGGAAACGGGACCCGTCGCTAAGCCACGCCCCCTCGATCCATGTTTGCGATTGCCTCGCCGGGGCAAGCACGTTGGTTTTCCTCGGTGCCGTCGCCGCCTCGGTCAGCACGCGCGCGTTCGCCGACAGCTAGACCGCGAAGATTTTGGGACAAGCCCACGGGCCATGCCTTTGGGACAACCCCGCGGGCCGCTGGGGCGCGGGGGCAGGCCGTCGGGACAACCCCGCGGGCCAGGCCCTTGGGACAGCCCCGCGGGCCTCGACGCGGCCGCGCTCGGGCGGAGGGGGGGCAGCGCGAAGCCCAGCCGTGCTGCGAGCTGCCTCGAGTCGGCCCTGGAGCTCTCCACTTATCTCGCCGACTCCTCCCCTCGACCTGCGCCTCCGGGCCCCCCTCCGCGCGGCCACTGCCGCGCCGCAGCTGCCGCCGCGGGCCGCCGCGGCGGCGGCACCTTTCCGCGCGGCGGGCGCGGGAGGTGCAGGTCGAGGGCCCAAGGCCCCCCCCTCCTGGAGGAGGAGGAGGAGGAGGAGGAGGAGGAGGAGGAGGAGGAGGAGGAGGAGGAGGAGGAGAAGGCGGAGGAGGAGGAGGAGGAGGAGGAGCTCACCCGCCCCTCTTGGAGGAAGCTCGGGCGGGTGGCACCGTCGGGGCGTGGGCCCGAGAAGCCCCAAGCTGAGGAACGGGGCCCCTATTTCCCAGACGTGGAGCCTCGATTTCTCATGGAAGGCCTCAGGGAAAGCCCAGGCAAACTGTGCAACGAACAAGGATCAAGGAGCACCGAGGCCCTCCCCAACGAGAAGGGTTCCTTCTTCTAAGGCCCCGACTGTAATGGGTGGGTGATCTACATGGGGGATGAAGCAGAGGGCTCCCTACAGGGGCTGGCCCTGCAGGGACCCTGCTGGCTCCGAATTAAAGAAGAACCTGACCCCACATCTTGGGAGGCTTTTCCCTGGAGGTCTTCGTTCGAACGATTAGAGGCCATTAAGCCCGATGAGGGGGCAACTTCATCTAAGCAAGCCGGATTCAGCCCAGGATTGAGCGGGATCAAGCTGGCTGGAGCGGGATTGGGCCCAGATCGAGCCGGTGATCAGCCGCGAAAACATGCCAGCGCCGATGCAGAGTTATGACCCATTCAGGTCACCCCTCATTATCACCAGCACCGAGCGACAATGCCCCTTCTCCTCTAGAGGAGCGAAAACTCCATAGACATAAACTGTAGGAGGTCCGCGCGGATTTCTTGGATCTGCGCCCGGACCCCCCTCCCTGTCGCGCGGAACGCGCCAGGGGCGGCGCCTGAGGCGCCGCCAGGGGGGGCCCGGCGCGGATCCGAGAAGTCCGCGCGGCGCGCCAAAAGTTTCTGCTTCGAGGCTGACTGCACGCATCCAAGCAACTGCACGGCTGTCTTAGTCATCGCGACACCTTGCTCCTGGATACCGCCCAAGACGGCCGACATGACCCAAAGTTTATGCTTACGCCGTTGCTCCTCCTCCGATCCTCCCCAGGCGTGCTGCGCTCGGGGGGGCCGTCCTCCGCGGCGTTCCTCGCGAGGGCGGCGGCGCCGGCCGCGGCGCCGAGGGCGACCGCGGCGCGGCAGGCCGCCGCAGCCGCCATGCGAGGCCTCTCCTTGCGGCGGGGGGGTCTCGGGGGCGAGCTGGCGGAGGAACGCGAAGGCCACTCCTTGCGGCGGGCCTTGGCGGAGCGGGCCGGCCTCTCCTTGCGGCGCGGGGGGCGGGCTGGCGGAGGGGGCGCGGAGGGGCCCGCATGCCCAGACCTCCTCGCGCGGTGGCAAAGAGCACGACGCGAAGCTTGTCGCTGCGTTCGGCCTCCCCGGGGGGCCCTCGCGGGGCCTCGGGAGCGTCCAAAAACGACTGGGGAGGAAAAATCGATCCCCAGGAAGGGGGCCAGACTTCGGAGGGTCACGTCATAAAAAAGAATCGCGGCGTCGGGGGGTCTGGGCAGCAAGGATGCGCGGCAAGGATGCCAGGGCCTTGGACGCCCATTTCGAAGCTTCCCGAGCGGGACGCCGCCAACGAGAGTGGCCAAGGATGGACCGAGGAGGCAAGGATGCAAGGGTGGGTACCCTTGGGAAGGCTGCCTCTCCTTACTACGTAGTGGGGTTGACTGCAGAAGCCGCCGAGCGGCGACTCCGCAGGGGTCAGGCTTGCAGAGGGTGTGGTTTGCGACCGGCGTCCTGGAAGACGCCCTGGGGGGGGGGGGGTCGGGCGGGAGCCTCGCCAAATACACAGTGCTCCGCCGCGCCCCGAGGAGGCCCGACGAGGACGGCGTCGTGCCCCCCGCAGGCCGCAGTGGCGCCGATCGCAAACCACACCCCGGCGTAACCGCACTCTTTGTAGTCGCCCGTCGGAGATAACATGTAAGATGACGATTCGGAAAAAACTGGGGTGGGAACGATGAACAGCATAACGTCCGAATCTTCGGCGTCTGGTTCGCTTCGGCTCCGTCTGGCAGTCGACCGTCCAGGCGCGCGCCCGAAGAGATTGGAGGCCTCCTAGCTGGGGTCGGAGGATCGCACCGCATCGCCGATGCATCGGCGATGCGACTCGATGTGGAGCCCGACTTTCTCCCCGCCGACGTCGCCGATGCGTCGCAAACGTCGCCGATGCATCGGCGATGTATCGGCTACGCGGCGCGATCTTCCGACCCCATCCACTGCGACCCCATCTGGGAGGCCTAGAACAATTTTTTGGTTGGAGGAAGGACGGCAGAGATCAACCGCAAGGTTCCAATGGTGCAGTTACGAGCGTGGTGCAGCCTGCTGTGAGAGGGAGAAGGCCTTGTGCCTCCTCAGAAGGCTCGGAAGTCCCCGGCCTTCTGAGAAGTTTTCTCAGCCTTCCCCGAAGACACAAAAAAAAACGTCTCAGAAGGCTGGAGGGCTTCTGAGAAGTTCCGCCGCCTTCTGAGAAGGCCTTCTCCTTCGCACTTCCCCCCCTCGCTCGCCGCCGATACACGGGGGGGGGGGCCGAAAGGGCAGGATAGCAGCGGGCAGGGCAGAGAATCCGCTCACGCAGCTGGTCTTCCTGGCGCCTCCTCTGGCGCTGGGAGGGGCGCCCGTGCGTCGACGAGTCTCCGAGTGGGACCGGCGGCGGGGCGGAAACCAGCTGCACGCAGCAGATTTCGTAACATACTTCCCTTTCCCTATCCCCCTTTCCCTGTCACCCTTCCCCCCGTCTCCTATCCCCCCTTTCCCCCTCCCCCCCTTCCCTACCCCCCCTTGCCTATCCCCCGTGTCCTGTCCCCCTTTCCCTATCCCCCCTTCTCTCCTCCCCCCCCTTCCCCGATCCCCCTTTCCCTACTCCGAGTTTCTTAAGAAGCGTCGGGGGGGCGTCACCACTGCCGACAGTTCCACATCGACCCCCGTCGCGGGCAGCCACCGCGGGCCGAAGGCGTTCCGACTCCCGTCGCGGCGCGACGACGAGGCGAGGTTGACCCCCGTCGGGGGGTTACCACCCCAAGCTTGAAAAAACAAACAATTACCCTGCGACGTACCCAACCCATGTGCATCAAGTGGCAAGAGGAGCAGGCCAACATTAGCAGGAACAACGACAATGTAGACACGGTGATTTGTTGCGCAATCTACATGGGACGCGCATGCGTTGCACGACTCACAGGACGACGATCGAAAGAACGAGGATCGAGGCCCCAGGCTCGAAGAAGAACGGGGACGGGAACGAGGGGCAGGAGGAGGATGGAATGGGGGGGCGAAAGGCCATCGCGGCAGCAGCAGCATGCATGGAGCAGGTGAAGCGGGGAATAGGACGACAATGAAGGTGGCGGGAGGAGACAGAAAAGCGCCGCGTTTTCAGGTACACGCTAAACACTGAGCGCTGCCTGCGCCATGTCGTCGCAGCGTTCCACAGGCTCAAACCTGCTTATAGTAAGTGCAAGAAGCGAGCGAGACTTAGCTCGCCCGCTAGCTTCTCCGCCTCATCCCTGCACATTTAGTGCGGGAGCTGAACGTTCGCAGGCGCGCCGCCAGGTCTGCGGGCGGCCCGCGGGAAATGACACATTTTCACAGATCGCAGCCCTCCAGGGATGGCGAAGTCTAATCTGAATCCCCGTATGACGTCACTCCGCTGGCCACCTCAGCACCCCTCGAAAGTGGCGACAGGTTCGCAGATCGCAGCCCCCCCACGGATGGCGAGGTCTAATCTGAGTCCCCGTGGGGCGTCACTCCGCTGGCCACCCCAGCAGCCCTCGAAAGTGGCGACAGTTTCGCAGATCGCAGCCCCCCAGGGATGGCGAGGTCTATTCTGAGTCCCCGTAGGGCGTCACTCCGCTGGCCACCCCAGCAGCCCTCGAAAGTGGCGACAGTCTCACAGATCGCAGCCCCCCCACGGATGGCGAGGTCTAATCTGAGTCCCCGTAGGGCGTCACTCCGCTGGCCACCCCAGCAGCCCTCGAAAGTGGCGACAGTTTCACAGATCGCAGCCCCCCAGGATGGCGAGGTCTATCTGAGTCCCCGTGGGGCGTCACTCCGCTGGCCACCCCAGCAGCCCTCGAAAGTGGCGACAGTTTCACAGATCGCAGCCCCCCAGGGATGGCGAGGTCTAATCTGAGTCCCCGTGGGCGTCACTCCGCTGGGCCCCCCAGCAGCCCTCGAAAGTGGCGACAGTTTCACAGATCGCAGCCCCCCAGGGATGGCGAGGTCTAATCTGAATCCCCGTAGGGCGTCACTCCGCTGGGCCCCCCAGCAGCCTCGAAAGTGGCGACAGTTTCACAGATCGCAGCCCCCCAGGGATGGCGAGGTCTAATCTGAATCCCCGTAGGGCGTCACTCCGCTGGCCACCCCAGCAGCCCTCGAAAGTGGCGACAGTTTCACAGATCGCAGCCCCCCAGGGATGGCGAGGTCTAATCTGAGTCCCCGTGGGGCGTCACTCCGCTGGCCACCCCCAGCAGCCCTCGAAAGTGGCGACAGTTTCACAGATCGCAGCCCCCAGGGATGGCGAGGTCTAGTCTGAGTCCCCGTGGGCGTCACTCCGCTGGCCACCCGAGCAGAAAGTGGCGACAGTTCCAGATCGCAGCCCCCAGGGATGGGGTCTATTCTGAGTCCCCTAGGGCAGTCACAGCGCTGCCACCCCAGCAGCCCTCGAAGTGGCGACAGTTCGCAGATCGCAGCCCCCCCACGGATGGCGAGGTCTAAGCTGAGTCCCCGTTGGGCGTCACTGCGCTGGCCACCCCAGCAGCCCTCGAAAGTGGCGACAGTTTCACAGATCGCAGCCCCCCAGGATGGCGAGGTCTAATCGAGTCCCGTAGGCGTCACTGGCTGGCCCCCCCAGCAGCCCTCGAAAGTGGCGACAGTTTCACAGATCGCAGCCCCCCAGGATGGCGAGGTTAATCTGATCCCCGTAGGGCGTCAGCGGCTGGCCACCCAGCAGCCCTCGAAAGTGGCGACAGTTTCACAGATCGCAGCCCCCCCACTGATGGCCGAGGTCTAATCTGAGTCCCCGTGGGGCGTCACTCCGCTGGCCACCCTAGCAGCCCTCGAAAGTGGCGACAGTTTCACAGATCGCAGCCCCACAGGGATGGCGAGGTCTAATCTGAGTCCCCGTAGGGCGTCACTCCGCTGGCCACCCCAGCAGCCCTCGAAAGTGGCGACAGTTTCACAGATCGCAGCCCCCCAGAGATGGCGAGGTCTAATCTGAGTCCCCGTGGGGCGTCACTGCGCTGGCCCCCCCAGCAGCCCTCGAAAGTGGCGACAGTTTCACAGATCGCAGCCCCCCAGGGATGGCGAGGTCTAATCTGAGTCCCCGTAGGGCGTCACTCCGCTGACCACCCCAGCAGCCCTCGAAAGTGGTGACAGTCTCACAGATCGTCAGCCCCCCAAGGATGCGAGGTCTAATCTGAGTCCCCGGAGGGCGTCCCTGCGCTGGCCACAGCAGCCATCGAAAGTGGCGACAGTTTCGCAGATCGCAGCCCCCCAGGTCTAATCTGAGAGTCCCCGTAGGGCGTCACTCCCCGCGTCACTCCGCTGGCCACCCCAGCAGCCCTCGAAAGTGGCGACAGTTTCACAGATCGCAGCCCCCCAGGGATGGCGAGGTCTAATCTGAGTCCCCGTGGGGCGTCATTTCGCTGGCCACCCCAGCAGCCCTCGAAAGTGGCGACAGTTTCACAGATTGCAGCGCCCCATAGATGGCGAGGTCAAGATAGGTAAAAGGCAAGCGAGAAGAGGAGGAGCGAAAAGAAGAGGAGAAGAGAAGCAAGAGAGAAGAGGAGGAGGGACGAGAGGAGGCGGGAAGGAAGGTGGAGACCGCAGTGCTCTATTCAAAACGAATACCCAACGCAGGAGGGTTGGGAAAAAACTGAGTATCCCCTTTTCCCGATGGTCCCCCCTTCCCCTATCCCCCTTTCCCTATCCCCCCTCTCCCAGCGGCGAACGACGAGGTGCCATGAGAAGGGGCGGACCTTCTCCGAAGGCTCGGAAGTCCCCTGGCCTTCTGAGAGGTTCTCTGCGCCTTCCCCGAAAACACAGAACACTTCTCAGGAGGCGCGAAGGCTTCCGAGAAGTCCCGCCGCTTCTAAGAAGGCCTTCTCCTTCTCATTTCCCCCCCTCGGCTACACGCAAGAGCGACCCTGGGCAAGAGCGACCCTTCGATGCCGGGGGGCCAAGCCGAAGCGCACAGGACGCTGCTATCGCATCGCGTTCAGTCCACTGGGGACCCCAGCGTGCCCGCACCAGAGGTCTCTCCGGCGAAGGGTCACTCTTACGTGGCGAATTCCAGAAGCCCTGAACCCGAACGCGTTTTCATCTCTTGCGAGGTCGACTTTTGCTTCCGCCGGCTTCCACCCGCCTAAGGCGGCCTCGTTTTACTTCCGCCGACCTTCCACCGCCCTTCCGCCGCCTTCCGCCGCGGAGGAGACGGCAACTCCTGCGATCCTCTCCCGTTTTGGAACGCCTCACGTGTGGTCGACGCCCTCGCTCGCCGCCGCCTTTCGTTTCGGTCCGCCTACACGACATCTCAGCGGACCAGAGAAGTGTGATCGGTCGCGGCGGAAGGCGATCGCGCGGTGCGGCCGAGGGCCTGGGCGTGGCCGCGGCAGGGCGAGCGTACGGCCGGGCAGTGGGACAAGATCACACCCTTCAAGAACATGATAATGCGGGATGACGATGAATAAAAAATGGGAGAGAACGATTAAACAACTAGTTTCCTGCTATTGCTGCACAATTTTCGGACTGGAGGAGAACGATTAAAAAAATAAGTTTCCAACCCGCGGCCGGTTTTTTCCAATCGTCATCCCGGGCGCCGCCGCGTGAACACGACCCCCGGTCATTTATAAATCGTCATCCTCCATTACCCTCCGCTGGCCCAAGCGCTCAGCACACACAAACGAGCACGAAGGACACCAGGATTGCCCTCCCCGGACCGGCCTCCACCTCGGCCCGACCGCAGCACGGGCTCGAGGACGCCGGGCCCGCGGGCAGAGGGTTCGAGGGCGGCCGCGGGAGCAGCGGCGTGACGGAACCGTCCGGGAGTCGCGTCGGGGAGGCGGCCAAAGACGGAGGACCTCCACCGCCTCCCCTGGGGCGCAGAAGGACATCCTCGGACTGTCCCCGCTGGGGGCGCACGTCCGACCCACAGCATCCTGTCGGAGGTTGGGGGGCGAGCTCGCAGCGGAAGGGAGAGCCCCCAACCGGGAAATCGTGTTGTTCCGTTCGTGTCCCGCGTGCGGGCTAGGCGAAGCTGCGTGGGCGCGCGACAGGTTGTTAGGGCAAGGTGCAGGTGGTACTTAGAAGGGCTGGCGGTCGGCTTCAACCTAGAAATCACAAGCCAGAGGCTCAGGAAAAATAGTCGTTTCTTGTATTCCCCAATCCGTTTCATCCACTCCGCCACCAATCCCATCCTCTCTCCTCTATCTCCTCCACCCCCCTCCTCGTTCAACGCTGGTCTGTTTTCTCCAATCCCCTGACCTCCAACACGCTTGGTCTCCTTGGCCTACCTCATCGAGACATATCGGGTGAGCTCACGTCCTATCTATCCGCATGACCTTGCGTGTTGGAGGTCAGGGCATTGGCACCCCACAGTGTGCGTCAACTCGGCAAGCACGCGCGTGCACCAGTACGTCTACTACAAGTACACGCACACGTGTACAACTGCACAGTACGCACGTATACTTGCAGGGGTACAAACGCCAGCATGGATGCGCATTGTTTGTCTAAGCGTACCGTATGTATACTTACGCACTTGCATACACATGGCGTCCGCAACTACACAAGCATCGAATGTCAAACCGTTCGTGCCCCCTCACCTTGTCGGAAGCTTTGGGAGGGGAGTCTCGGGCTAAGTTGCAGGCAGGCCCCAAATGGTTCCCGAAAGGCCTTCCGAAGAGGAATCAGAAATCTTTCCCCCGTGGGGCCCCGTCTGTTCATGTTTTTTTTTTTGGCATTTGTCAGGCCCCCGCAGCGCCGAGCTCCCCGCTCGGCGAGGTTCTCGAGAATCTCAGGTCGCCTTGCGACCCGCCCGATTGGCAGCCATCTGCCGCCAACCACCTCACCATCACTTCTGCTTCTTCTGAAGCAGCTTCTTGCGGGGCCCGCCGATGCCCTTCTGAGCGGGCGCCGTCACCGAGGCGGAGCTCGCCGCCTGGATGCTGGATGACTCGACTGTCTCAGCGGCGTCGGACATCTTCTCGCCCTGGCCCCGATGAGGGGCAAACACGTCGGAGGCCGCGAGCTTCTTCTTCAGGTTCGGCGGGGAGTCCTCGAACTTGTACCGCAACGTTCCAGAGATGTACTTGTTCATCTCGGCCAGCTTCTCGTCAACAGCCTTTTATCTCCCGGGCGTCCTTGGCCGTCTCCAGGGCGATCACGTGGGGGAGCACGCAGCAGCAAGACAAGATCTTCGCTGCTTGGTTGTACATCTCCTCGTACTCCTGCACCTTGTAGTTGAACGTCTTGATCTTGGTCGCTTGCTCATCGGCCCATCCCTTCATGCGGTCTGGCAGCTGCGAGCACATGTTCTTCCAAGTCTGTAGTTGGGTCGCTGCTGAGTTCACCGCTTGGGCGCCCTTGTTGACTTCTTTCGGTTGCGTGGTCTTCGTGGGGTCGGGGTAGCTGGAGAAGTCTCACTTCTCGACTGCTTTGTAGATGCCTGTGTACGCGTGCACGAACTGTTCCATCAAGCCGAGCTGGTTAACCTTGCCAATCATCCTGTTGAATGTCGCATCCCAGTCGGCCCGAAGCTGTCCAATATTGCGTTGGAAGTTCGGCCGAACCGAAACTAGCGTTGGGTGGAGCTTCTCAGCTTCGGTTGCAAGCTGCATCGTGATGGTGAGGTCAAGCAGGCCGCCTGGAGACTTGCCGTTGGCCCGCTTCGCAGTCGCCTCCTCCAAACGCTCGAACGCAGCCTGCGCATTCAGGACAGGGAGGGCCCCCCTCAGGCAGGTCGCTCGAGAACTGGCCGAGCAGGTCAGCCAACTTCTTGCGCACCCCGCGGCCGACGACACCCGAAAGAACAGACGCGATGCATGCGCCGACATCGGACGTGTCCATAGTGTACAGCAGCTTCACGTATGCAGAGATCTCTGCCGAACTTGTTCCAATCAAGACCCAGTGGCGCGCGGTCTCGGCCGCCGCGCCATTCGGGCATGGGAGGTTGGCGCAAGCACTCTTTGGATCGAAACCCTTGGTCTTAGTCCGCGCCTTGACAAAGAAGCCAACCGCGGCGTCAAAGTCAAATGACTCCACTGCGTCTTTGCCGTGGTGGATGTCGGCTGCGATGGAGGCCGCAGAAGCGCAAGCAATCCGAAGTTCTTGAACACCGTCGGGCAACTTGAACGGAACCAGCATCGCGAAGAACTCCGTCAGGAAAGCTAGGAACTCCAGTGGACTCAAAGCTTCATCTGGGACATCAGGCTGCCTGTCAGAAAGACCGTACGTGTATAGATCCGAGGCCTCGCGATTGCTGAAGACATATTCGAAGAGAACGGAGAGCTGCTGCTGCTCGCAGAAGGCCATCACGTCGTTGCCGAGATGAAGCATCAATCTCGCGAGGTCCCTCATCAGGCCAACATGTTTGTCCCTCATGTGCTCAACGTCAGCGCCGTCCATGCCGACCACGCTCACATCCTCGACGCGCGTCGCGCAGTCGCCGAACACGGCCCCGAGCTGCTTGATCGTCGCCACAGCGTCGACGTCTTCCATGGCGTCGAACAGCACGGAATAGGAAGCCTCAGGGCCTTCCTTCAGCGCCCCCTCAAAAGCCTCAGCCAGCTGCTGCACCTTCTCGAAAGCCTCGCCCTGGCACATGCTTGTGACGCGGGAGAACTCGCTGTGAATGTGCACCATCTTATCCCAAGCCGTCTTGCCGTGTTGCATTTGCATGCCGCAGATCGATCTGGTTTGAGCTTTCAGGCGAGGGCTTACCTGGGCAGCGTTCTCCACGACATTGATGAAGATCTGGCGAATCGACCTCTCGATGCTGTCAACGTCACCCGGCTCATGCTTCAAAGAAGCGGCCAGCATGAGGCCAATCGAGCGGACAGTGTACATGTCGACCCACGCTTGAGGATACCAACCATTCTCCAGCATTTTGAAAAGGGCCTTGACGTCTACCGTCTCGATGGGGGCAGTCGTCATGCATGGGAGGTGCGCGTCCAGGAGTTGCATGACGCCGACGATCAGCTTCACGTCGCTGGACTTCAACAGCTTGTCTGCCAAGGATAAGGTGGCGTTCTTCTGGCCTTCGGAGACTGCTTGGGCCAAACCCATCGGGTCCTCCAGGGGCGAGCAACAGCCGGCCACAACAACTCAACTTTGAAAGACATTCGCCCGCTTCTTGGGGCCGATGGGGGCCCAGGAGGCGGCACCACCAGAAATCATGGCAATCGTTTCTTCGGTCCTCCGAGGCTCCTGATTCATGATCTCCCCTCCTCTTCCTTCACTCCTTCCTATCCTCTGGGCCCTCTGTCTCCTCCTTCCTCCTTCCCGCGGGTCCTCGGCCGCCCTGTCGAAGACGCCCCAGGATGCCGAAGCTGGTCTGGAGCGGGCCGTCGCGCGCGTCGAAGGCGTTCAAGGCCACTGCGAACGCGTGCACGCACTTGTCGCCGACGTCCCTGTCGAATATGTTCCCAATGAGGTAGTGCATGTTCGTCGTCAGCAGGGACATCATCGCTGGCCTCGTGGACATGAGCATGTGGGCCTTATCGTCCAGAGAAGGCTCGAGTACGACGCTGGGGAAGTCCTCCTTGCATCTATCGAAGAAGCGCTGCCTGCCCTCCAGGGTCTCCTTCACCTCGAACAAGCTATCAGAGATCTCAGCCGCCTCTGGGTTGCTAGAGATCTCGCCTGCTTTTCGGGCTAGCGAGCCAGTTCGAATCATCAAGGCCATGAAATCACGGTGTCGGCTGGCCGACTCCATGTGCTTCTCCCAAGAATGACTTTGCTCGAGCTTATCTCGCATGGCCTTGGCATTCTCGATCGCCAGCTGTGGCCCGCTGCGACGGTGTCTCCTTGGCTTGGTCACGTCGGAGGCCTTGGGGATTCCATCGCCGCCGTCGCGCGAAGCCTCGGCAACTGGCGTGACTACGGCGCGCTGGCGCCCCACGTCGAAGGAAGCTGAGCCGCTCGGGGCTCTGCTCTGCCTGCCGACGCAGCTGATGGAGTCCTGCGGCCCCAGCCCATCATCATCCTCACGAAGGGCATCGGATACCGCCTGCACCAGTGGGCCGCCAAAACGCAAGCCCGAGCCCGTGGGGGGCGTGCTCACCTCCTCCTCCTCGGGCGCACCGTCGTCCATGACCACGCCATCTGCGCGAGGTTCATGCGCGCCAGACCTGCACCTGACTTCGCCTCCGAGGTGCGCGGCGTGCTCGTCTGCCATCCTGCGCGCCTCTGCGGCCACCTCGCCCTCGGTGTCGTAGGTCGTCTTCTCGCTCTTGGAAGCGTAGTGGCCCGCGCCCCGCCTGAAGCGCTTCACGCCAGGAGCGTGGTCTAGTATCTCCACGCCCTTAGTGACGCCATCGTCTGGGTCCACGACCACGGTGAACCCGAGGACGGCCTGGATGTGGTGGATGAGCAACTCTTCATCTGTGAACTTCAAGTTGCACCTGCGCGCAAAGACGGTCAGAGGTCCGAAACGACCTTCCACGAACCCCTCGTTGAAGTCCGAACGTTTTTTTCTCCACCTGAGTCTTTTCAGTGGCGCATGTGCCCGTGCCTTTGAACTTGTTCCCTCCAGAGACGACATCATGCCTGCGAACGTTAAATGCCTCCTCAACCTCATCATCTGCATGCCGTTCCTGCATCAGCGTGTCCAAGTCTTTGTTTGAAATACTTTCTGCGCGTGCCGAAGCACTTCGCGCACTCGGTGCCAGATGGGTACACCGCGCCCTTGGAGTTCGTGGCAGAGTGGGTCCACAGTGAAAAGAACGGTGCACCAGGAGGGGCGTCACGGTCCAAATCGCGCGTAGTCTGCGAGCAGCTCCTGCAACGTTTGGCTTCGCATCTCCCCCACCTCGACTCCTTCAGCTTAGGGGCCTTAGGAGCCTTCACCTGAGATTTAACCACTACACCCTTGTCGCACGTGCTGCCCTTCCCCATGTCGTAGAGCCAAGCCGCAGCGAAGCGCTGGTTCGAATCAGACAAGTCAAACTCGAACTCTGCGTGGCGAGTCTCTGGACTCGCGCCTCAGAGAGGGGCAAATAAAGCTGGAGCCCAAATGGCGAGCGGAGGAGGATCAGGAAGACCAGGGAAAAATGGTATCACGTCTTGGGGGGCTCCAGCGGTCCCGTCTCGGGCTTGACTTATGGGGCGTTATAGTGGCCCTTGGGGGCCGTCTCTTGGGGGAGCCCAGTGGCCCCGTCATAGGGGGGGGGGGGGGCAGTGGTCGCATGTTGGAGGCGTCGTGGGCCGTCTCGGAGCGATCTTGGACATGTGCCAACGCTTGCAGCTTAATGATGTGCAGACGTCCAAACCACGCCGCCAATGCGTTCTTTGAAACACACCCTAAATGTCCTCACGGGGGGGGGGGACCACCTAAGGATCCTTAAGGGGGGTTCTGTCAAGGGGCATGTCCGTCGGCTTCTGCGGTCGAGGCGCCGCGCCAGATCGGACCACGCTCGATGCAAGTTTTCGGCTCTGGGGATCATCTCCGTCCACGCGCGCGCGCGCATGGGCGTCGGCGCGCTGTCTGGACAGAGAATCCGTTTCGAGCTCCAATCCTGAATCAAATGGCGTATGATTTGCGCGGTTCCGCATCGGAGACTGTCACAGGTAGCAAACGGAAATGAATGGAGGAGCAGCGAAGACGCACGTCGGCCTGTGGGCGTCTCGGGCTTGCCGCGCCAGCCTCCCCGATGGCCGAGGTCCGACGCCCGACGGCCAGGGGCTGGGGGCAGGGAGCGTGGGGCACGGAAGATGGGCGCCCTCAAGGGCGGTACGAACCATGAGCTTCCTGGAGGGGGTTACCCCTGATCAAGTCTGATCAACTCCTTGATCAAGCCTGATCAAGTCTGATCAAAATCTTGATCAGGGCGTAGGGCGACGATCCTCGATAGGGGTGGCCCTGATCAAAAACCTCGATCGAAACCTTGATCAGGGTAGGGTTGGCGAACCCAGGTCTGATCAAGCCCCCCCTGGTCAGTTAGCCAGGTCTGATCAAGCACTCCTTGGACCATTAGGGTGAGGGGCTTAGGGCGGGGTGGCCTGTTCTGGGGGTCGTGCAACCTCTAGCGCAGACGGGGTGCGTTTGTGAGTGCGTTGGCATGTTCCCCCCCCCCTGGCCCCCTGGCCATCCTCAGTCCTCACCCTACCCCCTACCCTTCCACCTTGCGCCCGCCCCTCCATGATCCATCTTGCGCCCGCCCCTCCATGATGCTGTCATATCAGCGCTTGGAGCGGTCAACCTCCCGAGCCTGCAGCGGCGCCGCCAAGGGTCCTAAGCACGAGCATGAGGCCCTCGACCGCTCTCGGATCGTCGGCCGCATCGAGCAGCCTTTGCGTTCGAATTCGATCCGAATCACGATTGCCGAGAGGGGTTCCTCTCACGCATACCGGATGCAACCACGCCTCGTCCTTAATGGATTTGCCAACTTTGAATCTGTACCTAAGCCTAAAGCGACCTAACTCCAGATTGCCCTTGCAGACACCACACTTAGCGCGACCTGTCACTGCAGTGTCGTACCCGCGAACACCCTCTGGAAAATTCGCACCAGGAGCTGGCGCAGGGATGAACACTCCAATGATTGGCGGCAGAACGGCTGGATCTGGGGCTGCTGGAAGCGCTGGGGCGGCTGGGCCCTTGCCCTCGACGATAGAGAACCGTCCGTCCAGAGAAAAGGGGGAGGAAAACGGAAGGAAGGAGAGGAGGTAGGAAGGAAGGAGGGATGTGACGAAGCCCAAGGGATCATGAGTAAGGGGGCCCAGAAGAACTCTTAGCCCAACCATCGACAACCAAACATTGTGCACGCCTGTGTTCCCCTTTAAGTAGCGCTCGCATCGTGAAAGAAAGGCCTCAAAAACAAACATCTGGACTCCAAGGTTCGCGTTTCAAACCAGTGTCAAAACTATCATCCGCTTCCGATTTCAATGTAAACGATCATATTTGATTCGGGAATTTCTATGGGCGCCCCCTTCCCCCCCCAAAAAAAAACCTTGGGGGCGTGCAAACGCTGAGGACGGCCCCCTAACGCTAGCCTGGCATTTATCCGAAAAACCTCGTCGGGGCCGTCGGGCTCCGACTGCGAGTCGTCGTCCAAGGATACGGCCTCCTCCTCCCTAGCATCCAACTCCATCTCCTCATCGGTGGTGTTGTCGCCGACGTCGGCTCTGGGGCCAGCCACAGCTAAGTCGGGCTTCGGGGGGGCGATCTTGATCCCGAAAGGCAACGCGAACTTCTTCGGCGGATGTTTCTTGGCCAGGGCAGGGCCGACGTCGCGTTCCAAGCTGAGTTCCTCAGACCAGTCTGGCTCGAAAGCAACGCAAAACTCACGCCCGCCTTGGGCCGTCATTTTTTGGCGAGACATTGTGATGGACGTTAAGCCGCAGAGAATAGCATTGCCTCGATACCCAGCTGCGCCGCGAAGTGCAACGACCAGTTTACGAAGGAGAGCGTGGGAGGTACATATATCAAACGATGGCAGGGCACGCCCATCCAAGACATTCGCACGCATCAATATGCCCAGATCCCCTTTTCCCACAACGTCCCCGAGGAAATACGGCATGTCCAACCTGGCCTCCCCGTCGTCACTGGGGGGCGTGAGCCCGAAAACCACGAGAAAGGGATGAGGTTTTTTATCGACGTGATGGGCCTTGACGGCCCTCCAGACGTTCTTGGTCCAGATCCTGCTGGCCTCGACGATCGGGCCATCGTCGCAAAGGCCGCCGTTGCGGAAGGCGCACGGCGAAAACGGAGTCATGGCCCCCCCCTGGATTTTCTTTTGCCACTGCTGAGAATGCGAACAAGCGGGCTGCGTCGGCCGCCACAGTAGCCTCGGAGCCATCGACGACGCAGTCCGGATTGAGTCCTGCCTCGAATCCTTGGAGCCCAGCGCCACCTCTAGGACCCGAAGCTGAGACAAATCAATGGGCACCGCGGGACCTAAACCACAAAGAGAACTACACGAGGGGGCGAGAGAGGAAAGTGGAGCCTAAACTTCCAGGGGCGGGTCGGGCCTCGCTGCAAAGCGCGCGGGTTCCCTGCAGGACAACGGCGGTTGTACCGCGAGCATCCGTTGTTCAAGTGCGGTGCCTACCCATAGGACCCCAACATTGCCGAACGAGTCCAAGGGGTAAAACGTTTTTCAAAACCAGATTTAACACGTCTGCGTCGCGTCATCGCAGCGTTTGCCGTCTCGGTGTCGCGACGACGGCGCGCGGTTTACAATGGCGCCTAGACTCCACGCTTCAACCCGAGGATGGCACTTGCACAACGGATGACGCTCGATTTGCTTCTCTAACCCCTGCCCCCCTCCCTTGCCCCTCCATCTACCATAACGAACCACTACTCTTGAGTGGGGGGGGGCTCGTGGGGGCCTCGACCTTGCAACGAATTTCAAAAATCCTGCAAGCCTGGCCAAATGGGGTGGGACCTCATCGCGTCGAACGCGTTGCTGATCGCCCTGCGCTTCGCCGTGCGAAGCATGCCCCTGTGCAAGCCAGGTGGTTCGCGCGTGATCTTGCCGAAGTCTGGGTTGTTCATCTCGCCGATGGCCCTATTCTTGCCGTCGGCGCGATCATAGTACTGCTGTCGGTCGCCAGCGGGCAAGGCTGCCCAAGCTGCATCGGTTGCTGCCCTAGCATCTCTGAAAGAAATGCCGCGCCCATGGTGATCACGAAAATGTTCCGAAACAAACTCGTCGTAACCCCGAACGCGCTGCCGTCGCTCATTGCCCATCATCCCAAGTGCAAACTGTTTCTTGCGTCCCCGACCTTCCGAAATCGATTCTCTTCTGTCTCTGTGACGGTTCACTGAAAAAGCAGAAAGGTTATGAGAAAAAGCTTTCCTGGTGGTCTTGTCAGGGAGCACCTTCTGCAAGACCCTTTCCCGGCGGCGTTCCCAGCTCCTGCCGACTGACTTGACGTAGGTGCTCGTGCTCAAGTTCTGAGGCGTGAGGGCTCGACCTTGCTGTTTTCCCCCCATCGCGCCCCTCGTAGTCAAGCCCAGGAGATGCTTCCGTTCGACTTTTAACGATGACAGCGGCATCACAGCGACCATCTGGCGAAGTAGCCTGAAAGCTGCCATCTGAGTGTCCTCATTCAACAATCTCCCAATCCAGATGTTAGTAAAGGCAGGGTCGTAACATTTTGAACATTGAGCTGAATCTCTCAAACGTTGGACCCTATCAAATACAACTGGCGGTTCGAAGTCGCACACCAAGGACAACAACTCAAACTTCGGCTGCTCAACGAACGGGAACACGAGGCGCTTCCAAGCGTCGCACATCGTGCAAATCATTGCGAGGCAAATGGAGTGCATCTCATCCGAGGTCATCTCAACGCCACCCCAACCCCTGTGTTCCGTATTCACCAAGTACGCAGGTATCTCAGACAGTAATTGTTTCCCACGCCGTCCACTGATGATATCCTTGTTCGCGTCCCTGGCCTTCCCCTCAGCTTCTAGTAATTCTCTCCGGCCTATATCATCCACATCCACAGGGTCAGCAGGTGATTGAAGACACATTTCGACGTAGGGATTCGTCTTGCTGTCGGAAGAGAAGACGCAATTCAAAAAATGTTGCTGTGGCTTGGTCGTAGCAATGCCTATCTCGACGCCTCGGCCCGATGGGTCGCTCTCGAAGTACTCGTCCACGATCTTCGCTCGTTTCGCCTGCTTGGCTGCAAATGACTCCTCTGCTCCATCGTTTGGCTGTTCGGGCGTCTTCTTCTTCGGGACGCAAGCTTGCTTGAATGCCCGTGGCAAGAGCCTCTGGTGTTTGATGCCGCGGTAAGTCCAGCCGCTAGCCTTTTCGAAGCCTTTGAACCGATACAACAGAGGGACGTCGACCTTGCCACCACGTGAAAGCACAATGCAGCCCTGCAAGCCTTTCAAAGCCCGCCCCCTG